ACTAGGACCACCTCGTCGATACAGAAGCGCGGGGCTCACTAGCCGATCACCATGAGTCCATGCTTGGCTCACTTGCCACCACCAGTGCTGCTGCCACGACTGAGCTCTTCAACAAGAGTAAAAGAAGGAGAAAAGAGAAGAAAAGTGGATGAGCCTCTGGCTCAGGAGCCCTATTTCGCTCCTATCTTACTGGAATACTTCTCTATACTCTTGTACTCCAAATGCCTTGACGTAAGGGTCAACATTCCATTAGCCTCCTGGATTACCTGCTGCCCCTGTGTTAGCATTCTATTTCCTGCATAAGCTTTTTGTCACTTTTTTATATAAATGATTTGGATATGTATATAGGAGGCATGGTTAGTAAGTTTGCAGATGATGACAAAGTAAGAGGTGTAGTAGACTGTGAGGAAATCAGAGTACAACAGGACCTTGATCAGATGGGCAAATGGACTGAGGAATGGCAGATGGAGATTAATTTAGATAAATGTTGCACTTTTCGGTTAGGCAAACCAGGGCAGGACTTATACAGTTAATGGTAGGGCCCTGAGGGATGTTGCCGAACAATGAGACCTAGAGGAAAACGTGCATAATTCCTTGAAAGTGGAATCACAGGTACACCAGTTGGTGAAGAAACCGTTTGGTATGCTTGGCTTCATTGGTCGGAACATTGAGTAAAGTAGTTGGGATGGCACGTTTGCAGCTGTCCAGGACATTACGGAGGTCACTTTTGGAATAATGCATACAATTCTATAGGAAAGAAGTTAAACCTGAAAAGGGTGCAGAAAAGATTTATAGGGATGTTGCCAGAACTGAAGGGCCTGAGCTATAGGGAGAAGCTAAATAGGCTGGGGCTATTTTCACTGGAGCATTGGAGGGTGAGGGGTTTATAAAATCATGAGGGGCGTAGGGTGAATAGCCAGGTCTTTTTCCTTGTGGGGGAGTCCAAAACCAGAGGGCATAGGTTTAAGGTGAGAGGGAAAAGATTTAAAAGGGACCTAAGGGGTAACTTTTTCATGCAGAGGGTGGTGTGTATATGGAATGAGCTGCCAGAGGAACTATTGGAAGCGGGTACAATTATAACATTTTAAAAAGCATCTGGATGGATATATTAATAGGAAGAATTTAGAAGGATATGGGCCAGATGCTGACAAATGGGACTAGCTCAGATTGGAATGTATGATCGCAGATGATTTGGACCGAAGGGTCTGTTTCTGTGCTGTATGACTCTGACTCTATAAGTATCTCTAAGTCCCTTTCGTGTTGCGGCTTTCTACAGTTTTTTTTTTGTTTAAATAATACTCTATTCATTTTGGAAGGGAGAACAGAAGCATAATTTCACATTTTCCCACTTTATATTCCATTTATCAACCTTTTTTGCCCACTTAATTAACCTAGCAATATATGTCTCTCTCTAAGCCATTTGTAGTCCTCTTGGCAACTTGTTTCTCCACCTATTTTTGTGTCATCTACAAATTTGTGACAGAACATTCACTACCTTCCTCCAAGTCATTAATATACGTTGTCAACCGTTGTGACCCCAACACTGATCCCCTATGGAACCCCACTGATTATAGATCCTGAAAAAGAGCCTCTTATTCCCAGTCGCTATTTCCTGCCAGTTAGGCAGTTGTCTGTTTGTGCCAACATGCTACCTTTGATATGATGGACTGTTATGACTTAACCTTTTGTGAGGTACCTTGTTGGATGTCTTCTGGAAGTCTAAATACAGCACATCTACTGGTTTAAGATAACAAGGTGTAGAGCTGGATGAACATAGCAGGTCAAGCAGCATCAGAGGAGCAGGAAAGCTGACATTTTGGGCCTAGACCCTTCTTCATCTACTGGTTCCCCTCTATCCAGCCTGGTTGAGTCTTCCTTGAAAACGTCTTAATTTAAGTCAGACACAATTTCCCTTTCATGAAACCATGCTGACTGTTTGATTAGATTATGAATTCCAAAATGTTCTGCTACTAGTTCCTTTAATAACAGATTCCAATACTTTTCCAACAATCGATGTTAGACTAATTGATCTATAATTACCAGCTTTTTGCCTCTTACCCTTTGAGAATCGGGATGTCACATTGGCAGTTTTCCAGTTCTATGGTACTTCTTCAGAGTCTAAGGATTAATCAGGCGTTTCAACCAATTAATCCACTATCTCTGTAGCTACCTCTTTTAGAATCCTAGGATGCAAGTCATCAGGGTAAAGGGACTTATCTGCTTCGAGTCCCATTAGTTTGTCTAATACTGTTTCTCTAGCGATAGTAGTGGAAATTAATTCCTCCCCTATGTTCTTTAGTATCAATGGGCTGTTTAAAATATCATCTGCCATAAAGACTGAGATATCTTCCACTGTAACAGATTGTTACAAAAGCTGGCAAACTTGTTATGGTTAACAGGGTGCCAGGCAGCCTTTGAGAAGTTGAAGGCAATCCCAATAACTGTGTTTCATTAATCCCAAATGTGTGTTGTACAGAGGGCCTTTCTTTCAAGTTTGAGTTTTATCATTTCCATTTCTCCTTCCTGTTCAAGCTATTTCAACTGCAGTTGAAATATCTCCAACTCAGTTGTCTCACTCTTCCTGCTCTTCTGATGCTGCTTGGCCTGCTGTTCATCCAGCTGTACACCTTGTTATCTCAGATTCTCCAGCATTGGCAGTTCCTACTATCTCGGTTGTCTCACTAGTTGGTTTGTGTACCATTCTTTCAGCTTCAAATGTTGTTGTGCTATTACCTCAATTATGTCTCCCCTCTTAGCCTCTACTTTTAACTCGAACCCTAATGTGTTGGCCTACTCACTTAGTCTCACCTTGGTTATTCTCTGCAAATCATTCGGTAGTAAATCTTCCATCCCCAGAAAGTTGTTAGCAACTGACAAAGGCAAAATAAATGTAGGGAGGATGTTTCCTTGTTGGGCAATCTAAAATCAGAGATCCTAGTTTTAGGATAAGGAGTAGCAGATTTAAAACAAGTGATAAATTACTTCCCTCAATGGGTCATGAATCTGTGGAATTCATTACAATAGAGTGCAGTGGATATTGGAACGTTGAATAAATTTGAGGAGAGAGATTTTTAATTAGCAATGGGTTGAAGGGTTGTGCAGTTGAGGATGAGATGCGATCAACTGTGATCATATTCAATGACAGAGGGGGCACTGGGGCTGAATTTCCTACTCCAGGTTGGAGTTCTTACTTTCTTTTGATATTATAATGCACAAGACACAAGGTGTATTTGCTTCTTATCCTTTTCCAGTTATTGAAAGCTAGCTTTCCAATTAAATAGCTTCCTTGCTGAGTATCCAGCTGTGAGCCCCAACTTACATCTTATGACTGAGGTTAGAGCAATGTACTGTCACTATTGTCTCACTACTCCATGCATCACAACATCAAATATATACTTTTCCAGTTACCAAGGTGACCAAATTAAAAAGTATCTGTATCGGGTTTTAAACAAAGTAATCTATCAACCAGGTTTATTAGTCATCATAATTATTGATTTATTATAAAAAAAAGCCTAGTTCAACAAAGGTGCAATCATTGGTTAACGTTTACAGTCAATAATATAGAAATATAAATGATTATCCTTCTAATATCTCCAAAACACATGCACTAACTTTTCAGTTATATATTTCTCCACAGAGATTGTCTGTCTGAAAAATATTTTGGGTCAAAGGGTTATTCTTTAAATCGAAGGGATAAAAAGAATGTTCTAGAACCTCTTATTGTTATGCTTTGTTATCTGAGGTCAAGTCACTAATTGTGCACAATTGTCTCTGAAATCTTGCAGGCACAGCAAGCACCGACAATGCAACCTTGAGGTCTTCTTTCAATTGCTCTTTCAAAAGAACAATTAAGTTTCAGCCTTATTCAACAAGAGGGTTTCCTTTTCAGAAATAGAAGATATGAGCTGGTTCTTAGCAAGTGTTTATCAAAATCAGCTTATTCATAGCAGACTTTCCTCCAACTGAAACAGTTACAGCAAAGCACTTCTGCAAACTATTCAGTGTTTAAAATTGGTGCCAGTGGGGGTCAACAGGTAGAAAATCAGTCAGTCAGTCATGTGATTAATAGCATATCTTGTTTTTAAAAAAGTCCACATGATCTTTCAGTGACCCCTTAAAGAAACCACTCCAGGTATTTCCACAAAATTTTAAATAAATCCAATATCCATAATCCTTCAATATTAGGTATAAAGCCTGTCATAACATTAAAATGATTACTCTGCAAAAGTATGTCACTGACTTTTAAGATGCTCTGACAGCTAGAAGTAGAAATGCAAGTCTCCTTTTCACAAAAAGGGAAGAGTTGCAAAATAATTTATCAAAGCAGAAGATTGTTAACTTCAGAGGAACTAAGAATTGAAAGATGTAGAGAGTGGTTGAAGTCAATGTTGGGTTCGTTGACTTCTTTCTGGCTGTATAATGGTGTCACTCATTGTTCCATTACTCTTTGTGTTTTGTTTAAATGCAGGCGATGGATATGAAGTCTGTGCAATCTGTCTGGATGAGTATGAGGATGGTGACAAACTTCGAATATTACCCTGCTCACATGGTAAGCCGATTCTGTCACTTATATAGTCGTCTTTCTGCTGCTGGCAGAAGCTGTCCAGGTGATGAGGAGAAAGCTGTGCACTGAACAGCAATGGAAATCAGTGAAAGCAACTTTAACACTTGATCCATTACCTCAGATGATACCAGCTACCAGGAACATATCTGCTTCCTTGATAAGTCCAACATCAAACTCTGCCTTGGTACACAAAGCTTTCTTGTGTTCTCTATCCCAATCCTTCTCATCCATCTGCTTTCCTGCTCGCCATTATTTCGGTGGCGAAAGGAAGAGACGGGTGAAAATTATGGAAATGATGTCCCAAGTTGAAAAATGTTAATGTTAATGTTAATGTAGAGAGGGTAGAAGATTGTTGGACTGTTTTTAGTGTCTGAAATGATCTGTAGCCCACTACTCCATCCATCACAACATGAATGGAATTCTTCATGAGGATGGGGTATACTTCGATTGCTATGAGGTACTAATTTCAGAACAGAGCAGGTTGTTAGAGGTCGTAGAGGTATTCCGCATGGAAACCCGTCCTCCAGCCCAACTCATGCATGCCGACCAGGTTTCCTAAACTGAACTAGTCCCAGTTGCCTGTGTGTGGCCCATATCCCTCTAAATCTTTCCTATCCATCTATCTAACCAAATGTCTTTTAAATGTTATAATTGTACCTGCCTCTGCACTTCCTCTGGCAGCTCGTTCCATTTACGCACCACCTTTGTGTGGAATAAGTTGCCCCTCGGGGCTCTTTTTAAATCTGACCCCCCTCACCCTAACCCTATACCCTCTAGTGTTGGACTCCCCTACCCTGGGGAAAAGATTTTGGTTATTGACCTTATCTATGCCCCTCATGATTTTATAAACCTCTATAAGGTCACCTGTCAGCATATGTCTCAACCTGTCTAGCCTGTCATTATAACTCAAACCTTCCAGTTTTGGCAACATTCTTATAAACCTCTTTTACACCCTTTCCAGTTTAATGACATCCTCCCTTTAGCAAGGAAGTGGTACTGTTTATGTATATTTTGCCAATTGGTATCCTCTGTACGTTGCATTCTACTGCAAAAGCGCGTGACTATCTATCTTAGAGCTAGGGTGTCTTATCAGAAAGCAGGTAGAGATGAGTGTAGTGACCACCACTAAAGCAAAGGTGCTGGGGAAACTAAAAGGTCTGAACGGGATAAAGCATCTAGAACAGATGGATTACACCCCAGAGTTCTGAAGGAGATAGCTGAGGAGATTGTAGAGGCATTGGTACTGTAAAATAGCTAATGTAACACCCCTGTTTAAGAAGGAAGGGAGGCAAAAGACAGGAAGTTATAGGCCAGTTAGCCTGACCTTGTCATTGGTAAGATTTTAGACTCCATTAGTAAGGATGAGATTGTGAAGTACTTGGAAGTGCATGGTAAAATAGGGCTGAGTCACTACAGCTTCTTCAAGGAGATTTCATGCCTGACAAATCTATTAGATTTTCTTTGAAGAGATCACAAGAATGTTAGGCAAAACAGAGCAAGTGGATGCAATTGATTTGGATTTCCAGTAAACTTTTTGACAAGGTGCCACATTGGGGACAGCTAAATAAGTGCCCATGGTGTTAGGGGCAAGGTACTGGCATGGATAGAGCATTGGCTGACTGGCAGAAGGCAGAGAGTAGGTATAAAGGGGCCTTTTTCTGGATGGCAGCTGGTGACTAGTGGAATTCCACAGAGGTCAGTGTTGGGAGCACAACTATTCGCATTATAAATTAATGATCTGGACAAAGGAGCTGAGGGCGTTGTTGCTACGTTTGCAAATGACACAAAGATAGGTGAGAGGCAGGTAGTGAGGAAGCAGAAGGACTTGGACATACTGTGAGAGTGGGCAAAGAAGTGAAAGATGCATTATAACATTGGGAGATGTGAAGTTATGCACTTTGGTAGGAAGTGTAAAGGCATGGACGGTTTTTTCTAAATGGGGAAAGGCTTTGGAAATCTGAAGCACAAATGGACTTCGGAGTCCTAATTCAGGAATCTGTTAAGGATAACATGTAGGTTCAGTTGGTAGTTAGGAAGACAATGCAATGTTAGCATTCATTTCAAGAGGGCTAAGAGTACAAGAGCAGTGATGTACTGCTGAGGCTATATAAGGCTCTGTTCAGACCACATTTGGAATATTGTGAGCAGTTTTGGGTTCCCTATCTAAGAGTTGGAATTTATCCACAGGAGTTTTACAAGACTGATACCAGGGATGAGGGACTCGTTATATGAGGAGCAGTTGAGAACACTGGATCTATACTCCTTGGAGTTTAGAAAGATGAGGGGGATCTGATTTAGACTTGCAGAATACTGAGAGGCCTGGATAGAGTGTACATGGAGAAGATATTTCCACTATTAGGCAAGACTAGGACCCGAAGGCACAGCCTCCGAGTGAAGTGATGATCCTTTAGAACTGAGGTGAGTAATTTCTTCAGTCAGAGGGTGGATAATCTGCAGAACCCATTGCCGCAAAAGGTTATGGAGGCCACTTCATTGAGTGTATTTAAGACAGATGGATAGCTCCTTGTTAGTAAGGGGATCGAGGGTTACGAGTAGAAGGCAGGAGAATGGGGTTGAGAAACATCAGCCATGATTAAATGGCAGAGTAGACTCAATGGGCTGAATGGCCTAATTCTGCCCCTGTATCTTTATGGCTTTATGGATCTCTCAGCAGCTTCTCCTTGGCTAAAGCAAATGAAGCATTTCTACTTCTGTTTTTCTTTTGATTTTGTTATAAATCGTACTAGGGTATTTGACCATGGAGAGACAGGAATTCAATTAACATTCATATTAGCAATCCATTTTCTGCCTTCTCAGTGTGTGTCACCACAATCCAAATCTGAGCCTCTCAAAAGAAATGCTTGCATTTCATTGGTCTCTTCCTTGCTGTCAGGATGCCCCAAGCACTTTACTTGAATGCAGTATTCTTGAAGTAAATTGATGTGTAAAGTTGAAACATGGTGGCTACCACATGAAGCAATGCGAATGTGACCAGCTTCTCATTGTGGGGTAAATATTACTCAGATGGTGGATGGAGCCTTGCTTTAGCATCTCATCTGAAAGACATTACCTCCATCAGCAGTTCAGAGAAGGCTTACTAGAGTAGTTACCTGGAATGAGCAAATTTCCCTGTAAGGAAAGATTAGACAGGCTAGGCCTGTATCCCCTGGAGTTTAGAAGAGTCCAAGTTGATTTGACTCAAAGAAGATCCTGAGGGGATTTGATTTAATGGATGTGGAAAGGCTGTTTCCTCTTGTGGGACAATCTAGAGCAAGAAGTTACAGTTTAAAAATAATTGAGTGCCCATTTAAGGCAGATAAGAAAATGCTTGCCTCTGAGGTCGAGACTCTTTGAAATTTGCTTTCTCAAATGCAGAACCTTTTAATATTCTTATGGCAGAGAGGATAGTTTTTTGTGTGGATCGATTGTTGATTACCATGGGCATGGAGGAATATCAAGGATATGCAGCAATGTAAAGTTAAAGTTAAAATCAGATCAGCCATGATCTTATTGGATGGTGGAACATGAAAGGGCCAAGTGACCTACCCTTGTTCCTTGCTCCTTGCTCACGCAGAACTCCCATCAGAACTACACTAAGTTGTCAACCACAGGCTGAATTTGGCCAAAAATTGGCTAAGTGTTATTTTTGCTGAGTTTCATGGAGAGTTGCTCTCTGCAAGGCCAAGCAGCTTTACTTATGCAATTGTCCCAAACCCACTTTATTATGCAGATTCCATGTCTAGATCAAACAGTGCTAGCCCAAATCTCCTGCATGTCATAGCCGGAAATATTTATGACTCCTGGGATTCCTGGCACCAGTGCTATCTTTAAAAGGCCATTACGACAGTCACTGTCTGTCCAGAGTTGCCCTGCACAGTTTGATTAACGTGGGCTGGACATGGCAAACAAAGGGAAATTGGCACCGCATTTTTGTAGACAGTGACTTAAAGATCTTGGTGAATGGGGTAGTGCAGGGGAAGATGCCCTGTTTCCTCCAGAGAAACACCCAACAGCACTGTCTAGGTAAGTACTCCTGTCTTCTCTCTGCTGCACCCACTCTATCTCTACTGCTGTACCCACCTCCCATCAAAGCTCATAACCTACAACTTTCACTATTGTATGTAACCCCTCACGCCCTCACGCCCCTGCACACTGTGTGCACACAGACATGCACGTATACACGCTCCCCAGTATTGCTAACCCAGCTTGAGTTGGTTAGCCCCATTGGCTGGACAGCTAGTTTCTGATGCAGAATGACACCAACAATGTAATTCCTGCACCAAATGAGGTCACCATAAACATCCCACCTTCTCAAACTCTCCCCTCACCTCGGGCATGATAATCCTCTGGTCAAACTCACTACCAGCCACGTCTCAACTGCGAAAGCAGCGTGTGGTCACCAGGTACTACGGTCACCTTACCTTGAAAGGAAGGTTGATCAGCTCATTTGCTGGACAGCTTGTTTACAATGTAGAGTGATACCATTAGCACAGGTTCATTTCCCATATCAGTTGAGGTTGCCATGAAGGTCTCGACCACTCCCCTCACCTGAAGCGTGGTGACACTCAGACTAAGTTACTACCAGTCGAGCCCCATCCCCCTCCTGTTCTGAGAGAGCAGCTCATGGTTCTCTGGGATTATGATGATTTACTAATCCTGAGTGGCCTTTATACTGCCTGCTCACTCACTTGGGACACCACCAATTTTCTCCATCTGCATCAGCACTAACAGTTGTTCCACCCACTCATTTAATCCCTCCCTCTCATTTCAGAAGGAAAAAACTCTTAATAGGATCAAAGAGCCAGGAATTGGTGGGATGTCCTCCATTCATTTCTAACCCTGTATGGAGAGAGAATCCAGGCCTTCGCTGACAAGTTTCTGTGGAGACACAGAACCATCCATTGCTCAGCAACCAAGAGAGAAACATTGTCCATTATTGAGTGACACTCCCATTCCCCTATTGTAAATCTATGATTTATATGCCA